AAGCATTAAAAATAAACAATCTTTAAACTTAGAAACACTGAAATACTATTGCTTAAGGCCAAGGAAAATATTTGATGTGGTTTTTTTGCCATGTCTGAAAATGACCAGTTGGAAGAAGATATTTGGGAGTACAAATCTATTCGGAAACCAAAATCAGTATCTCAAAATAATTTGGTGAACATCTATACATCCGTGCAGAAAGCAAATGATGGGAATTGCAAATCAAAACGAAGTGGAGGTCGGAATAAAAAAAAACCCTCTGAAAACCAGGACAAGTCTAAGAAAAGTGAACAAGGACCAAGACAGAAAGATATTCAACCACTTATAATACCTGACCAGAGCTTGAATCTATCTAAAGATGACTATACTGTGCAGACCCCGGAATGTGCAACTACACCAGTAAAGCAAAGCAGGATATGTAACAAAAAACAAACCCCACCAAATGCAAGACCAGTTTATGATGGATGGTGCCCGAGCTGCCAGATGCCTTTCTCTTTATTGTTAGCCCAGACACCTCGGTGGCATGTTACTGACTGTTTGGATACTCCGGGTTCTATTGAAAAAGGTAAGACTCTAGCGAGAAGAAATAGCCCATCAAACAGATTTAAAGGTTATTCAAAGCAAGTTGTTTGAAACGTTGGTCAGATTTAATAGTACAGAATCTCACATCCGTTTGGAATCTGAGAATTTATAGTATGGTTGGAATTACTATTACAATGTTATTAATTATTTAGCAGCATTATTTTCATGTCATATTGGGGCCTTGGATCTCTTTTTCAAAAACATTGATAAAGAATGAAGGTCCAGTCTCGCACGTGCTGACTCCCTCCTGGAGGTATTGCATTCAAATAGGATTGAAATAGGAGTTGAAGGACTTGAGGGTACTTGAATACTGTGTACAGATGTGGTCTCCTCACCTCAAAAAAGATATTTTGGCCTTGGAAAGGGTTCAGAAAAGGGCAACTAAAATGATTAGGGGTTTGGAACGAGTTAAAACGACTGGGACTTTTCATTTTCTAAAAGAGGAGACTGAGGGGGGATATGTTAGAGGTATATAAAATCATGAGTGGTGTGGAGAGGGCGGATAAAGAAAAGTTATTCATTAGTTCCCATAATATAAGGACTAGAGGACACCAAATGAAATGAATGGGTAGCAGGTTTAAAACTAATAAGCGAAAGTTCTTCTTCACACAGCGTGTAGTCAGCCTGTGGAACTCCTTGCCAAAGGAGGCTGAGAAGGCTAGGACTATAACAGAGTTTAAAGAGAAGCTAGATAAATTCAGGGAGGTTAGGTCCATAAAAGGCTATTAGCCAGGGGGTAGGAATGGTGTCCCTGGCCTCTGTTTGTCAGAGGCTGGAGACGGATGGCATGAGATAAATCGCTTGATCATTGTCTTCGGTCCTCCCCCTCTGGGGCACCTGGCGCTGGCCACTGTCGGCAGACAGTTTACTGGGCTAGATGGACCTTTGGTCTGACCCAGTACGGCCATTCTTATGTTCTTATGGGATCTAAACCACTGACACTTAGGACTCAATCCATAATGAAAACGTTGCTTTCCTCTGACATAGAAGTAAGCAGTGTTCCCTCTAACCGTCTTCATGGGCTGGAAGGGAACATTGGCCCACAGTGTGTGGCAGATTTTCCAGGATACTTGCAACTTTTGAGAGCTGATATCAAGATATGACTGAAGTAAGCTGTGTTCCCTCTAACCCTCTTCATGGGCTGGAAGGGAACATTGGCCCACAGTGTGTGGCAGATTTTCCAGGATACTTGCAACTTTTGAGAGCTGATATCAAGATATGACTGCTTGCTCTACCAAAGACTGGAGCAGATATACTTCAAGTCTCAGTCCTTAGCAACCCTATATTGACTGTGTCTCCTGTGAGAGTATATGAACTCAAGAGATTGCAGACTTATTTTATTCTGGAAGAGGAGTTAGAGCAAGAGAACTGGGACCCTTTAACATATAGTATATGTGATAATACCATAGCACTTTAAGCGGTCTGTTTAGACCTTGTGAATCTTCTGGAAACCGAACCTGTGATCTTAATCTTTTTTTGTTTGAAAACCAAAAAGTACATTGCCCGTATACTTAAACTAAAGGCTGCCCCTTTTCTTATATTTTTTGGCTTTCACTGGAGGGATGTTTGAAGTCACAATTGTATTATGAAAATGGAGCTCTTAGCCCTTAGTTTTTCTATAGTTTTAACTGTAGGCAGATCTATTTCCCACCTTCTAACTTTAAAGTAACAGATGTAGAATCTTGCTGTTTGGTACTGATTTATCTACTGATCCTAAAATTCCCAAATGGATTAGTAAGACATATGTCACAAAATGCTGAGAACATTAAAAAACAAAAAAGAGAGACTGCCAGATTATTTCATAAAGTCCTGAACATGAAAACACTTACGCCTGTGAGTAGTTCCAATAGCATTTTAAAAAGTTTATTGTATCCCAACTGACAACTGTGAGGTGGAATGTCAGGTTAATGAGACTCTGAATAGCTCTATTTATAAGGGAAAGCTTTTAATAGCTATGCTATAATATAATATAAATCACTGTATTAATTTTTATGCTATAATGCCTTTTTGACAAGATACCAGCAGTGTATTATTCTGTTTGATTCTTTCCATAGAGTGCCCTGATGGTCTACTGTGCAATTCCACCATTCCATCTCACTACAAGCGCTATACCCATTTCATACTTGCTACAAGCAGAGCAGGGGATTATCTTGTTGATTCTTCAACATACAACCCAGAGAGAACATTCATGTCTTCTGATGTCACTAACTCAAGTTGTTTCTCAGGCTTTGTGGATGGCACCTCACAGCATGAGAAACTGACCAGGAATGTAAGAAATGTCTCAAATGAGGATCCTATCTTAGTGATTCAGAATTCCACACAACCAAAATCTCCAAATCTAACCAATTTAAATACTACTTCTTCCACAAATGTTCTAAAGCCCCAAAAGACTCTTCTGCTCTCACAGTCTGCAGATGATAGTGGCCAGCTCAAGTCTTGGGATTTTCCATTTTCTCAAGGAAGTGAAGCTAGTGGAGATCTGGACTGTCAGAATGCCTCAAATCAGAAAAAGCTGCTACTTCCAGAAACTGTCTGCAGTGACTGTGAAATTTCCTACTCCCCACTTAATACTGATGAGGAAAATGAAGAGGAAACAGAGGAGGAGGAAGAGAAGGAGGAGAAAGTAAAAAAATCACAGAAGAGATTATTTCACACCCAGAACTCTGACAATGAGAGCACCAAAAAGGAAGACTCTAGCTCTTTGTGGTTTACTAATTTGGGTTGTTCTCCACTCCACGAGGAACCCAAATATAGCTGCCTTAAAATAGGCAGTTTCATAATACAAAATGAACCTTGTGTAGAACTGAAAGGACTGAGTAATTTGGATGGTTTTGTTAACCCTGTTTCTCAGGATCACATGAACAGCATGCCATCTAATTCAGGAAGTACTGATAATCAGTTAAAACACCCACAAGTGGCACTAACTGCAGAATCCTCTATTTCCCTTAATTATGATATAACTAAGAAGGAATTTGATTGGCCAAAGTTAAGCGCCTCTGTTTCTAATACAGGTAATTGGGAGCTAAAAGATATTGATGCTTGCCATTTGGATTCTGCAGACTTGGCTGTGGATGATCCGTCATTGTCCTTGAAAGTCAAAGAAGAAGGTGGTAGATCTTTTCTGTCAAGGCAAAGTGAAGTTTCAAAGAAACCTAGTTACTTCATCATTAATAAAATGACTACTAATGCAAGTGGAAATGCAGTATACCAGAAGAGATCACAGCCAGTAACAGAGAAAAAAGAAAGTCTTCCTAGTACAGCTGCTGTACCTCTTGCCAGTACAGTCTCTAAAACACAGTCATTGGGTTTTTTTGCAAATATGAAACCCAAATCTGTTTCAGCCAAAGAACTGAAACAAATGGACATTGGTGTTTTCTTTGGATTAAAACCCAAAGCAAAAGAAGAGAACACAGTGGAGAAACATTTTGGGGAGGGAACACAGGCCTCAAGTCCTGTAATTCCCAATGGAAAAAGGCCCAGACTACGAAAGCGGAAAGCTGAAGGCTCCGTGGGAGACATAGATGCAGTCCCAGAAAGTTCAAAGAAAGATGGAGTCTGTGCAGATACAACATCTGGTGGGCAGCGAAGTTGGAGGAAAAGATTTAAGGCATTGTCTTCTACAGAAGAAGGAACAAAAAACAAAAAGTGCCCCTTTTATAAGAAGATACCAGGTGAGGAGTAATTGTGACTTTTAATTTTAATGGTTGAGTTTAATGGTTGGATATAGCTTTTTTCCAGTTTTAATGAGGCCTCTTTTATTTGGTTTTAAAGTAAAACCCTTTTAGGCCCCAATCCTTTAATGATTTTCACAATAGGTGGACCCCATTGAAGTTAGTAGAAACCAGGAACATAAACATTTAGAAAATGACCCCAGTTCATTCTGAGTGAGCAGCAATGAAAGAATGAAATCCTTTTGTAAAAATATTATCTAACTTCTAAAGATACCAACAGAAAAATAACAAACATTGAGACTTAAATTATATTTTACAGGGCATGTAGCTTAAGGGGAAGATTTTCAAAAGCATCTAAGGGATTTAGGAGCACAAGTCCCATTGAAAGTGAGACTTGTGCTCCTAAATCCTATAGGTGTCTTTTCAAATCTCTCAGTTGATGTTTTCCTTGCCTAATTCATAACTTGTAACTTTTACATAACTTATTTTGAAGCAGAAAAGTTGGCTAATGATTAATAGAACAAAATATTTGTCACTCTTGCAATTATTTTACCACAACTTTACTAAGTACATTATTTGAGCTTTATTTTGTTTTAGATATAATATTACGCTAGAATGACATTCTCCAATGTTAATTAGTAGAGTTTTTTAAAATAATTAAAGCTAAAAAAAAGCTAAGAATTTATGAAAATCTCCTCAGGTAACTATACAAAGTATAAGGAAGACTGATCAATAGCTTGAAAAGTTTAAATATTACAGATTTCTCACAAAATGTTGAGAACATTAGAAGATTTTAAAAAAAGAGAGACTGCCGGATTATTTCATAAAGTCCTGCACATGAAAACACTTATACCTGTGAGTAGTTCAATAGCAAATTAAAAAGTTTATTGTATTCCAGCTGACAACTATGAGATGGTCCAACAAAGGATCATTATAGTTGTGCTTTTTTGTTTCTGGAATCAAAACATTCCTTTTCTGTTGAAAACAATTTTAATTTTTCTACTTAAAAGAAGATCTGACCAGTAACTGGCTGTTGCTATTCCATGCATATTAATTGACTTGTTCCTGTTGTATTTATGTTGTAGGAACTGGATTTACAGTTGATGCATTTCAGTATGGAGAAATCGAAGGTTGCACAGCGTATTTCCTCACTCATTTCCATTCTGATCATTATAGTGGCTTAACAAAAAAATTTACATTTCCAATCTACTGTAATAAGGTAAGATTTCCTAGGGTTTTGATAATTACCAAATCAGTATGCAACTGTGAATGAAAACCAAAGAATACAGTATTCATATTCTACAGCTATAGGATCAAAATCTCAGCTGTGGCTGATGCTGAAGAACATTTGGCATAGCTGAGCTGGATAAAGAGTAGGGATGGATCAAACAGATGTAAAGACCTTGTTATTGCCTCTTTTGAGCCAGCTGCAGGGAAGTACATGAGGGGACAAGAGGCACTCCCCTTACCCAGGGGAGTTTTTGGAACTTAGATATAGCTGATGTTATAAGAGGCTGGAGTACAGCCCAGTGTTAGTCATAATCCTTCATAATCTGCACATTGTGCTATGTGGTTTTGAGATCCTTCTAAATATTTACAATTAATCTAATAAAATTAATTAATATTTAGCAATTTCACAACCCTTATTTCTTTAAAGAATTTTACCCAGCATCCCTATGATATAAACAAGCATATAGAGATTGGGATGTGGAAGCATGAAGGTTACTTTTTCCTGCAAGCATGCATAAAATTAGAGTAGAGCCAGGAATAGAATTTAGGAGTTTCTGGCTTCAAGTCTCAGGCTTTATACACCGGAGATGCTGCCTCTGTTTGTGATGGTTCTTGCCATAACTTTAGCCATACTGTGTGGTATTTATGCTTGGGCTTTTATTTGCTGGCACAATTTTTAAAGCGACTTAAAAAAATAACTTGAGCACAGAAAAAGTGAACTTTGTTCCCATTACATGATTTCCCCTGTAATAAGGCTTGGTCTTTTTGATTGTGTCTCAGGCTTTGTTTCTACTAGAAATGTAATCAATCTCCATTAGGTTGACTGACAGGCACTGCAGTGATTACTGCTGTGGTGCATGTCCATACTGCCCTCCTTGCATCAGTGGTGTGTGTCCTCACCAGGAGTGCTTCCATCAACATAAAAAGGGCAGTCTGGGGGAACTGAAAGCCTAATCTCTCAGCTCTGCTAGCAGCTCCCTACAGGGAGCCCAGCTGCCCCACGGGCTCCTGGGCTCCTAGTGGGCTTCCCCCCTTCTAGTTCCCTGTTGCCCAATGGGAGGGAGGAAACCACCTAGGGTTTTTCCCCTTCCTGTTCTCTGCCAGGAGCTGGCAGAAGCTGCCTGTGGCATTTTGCCCCTATGAAGCAGAGTCCAGCTGCCCTAGCTTTTCAGCCCACTGCTGCCGGGAGCTGGATCTGAAGCTGCTAGGGCATGTCATTCTGGTTCCCAGCTGGGTCCACTTTCCCTTGGCTACTAGGAATGGAGTTCAGCTGCCCAGCTCTTCATTATAGCTAGGTCCAGCTGGGATCTAGCTGACTGACTTTCATGTCAATTTCATTGCTCTTGCTCTGAAATTGACAAGATACCCCTATAAGGGATGCAGTGTCTATGCAGACATTGTCACCTAATTACTCCAACATAAGCCTTATACTTTTTGTGGAGGTGGAGTTACCATGTCAGTGTAGTAGGGCACTTACGTAGGCAGGAGGAAGGCTGTAATGTAGACACTGACATAATTAGGTCCACATAATCTGCCTATGCCATCTGAACTATATAGTATAGACCAGTCCTCAGTACTAAACTCTCTTTTGTAGGTAACTGGCAACTTGGTGAAGAGTAAACTTCAAGTGCAAGAACAATATATCCACATATTGCCAATGGATACAGAATGTATAGTGAATGGAATCAAAGTGGTCTTGCTCGATGCCAATCAGTATGTATCTTTGCAGCTAAATTCTATCATTATCTTTGACATTCACTATTTGCTAAGTTATTGTTTAGAAATGGTTTATTGACTTCAGTGGATCTGGAAGACTAATAATGTTTTTAAAGCACTTAAGTGTTTTAGAAGCATAATGTGATTTTCAAAAGTGAGTTAGGACCATGGAAGGGTAAATCTCATTGAACTCTTCTAAGTGCCAATGTTACCTTTGAGAATGGGAATTAGACTTTGAAAATGTCACCCTAAATCTATTTTGTGCATTTGTAATGAGCATATCACCAAGATATCTACATGTTAATGATAGAGTGCTTTAATTTTCACATTTCGTTACTGACATGAATCCTGATTGACACTTAGAACATTTCTCTGAAGTATGTAAGAAAATAGAGGCACAGAAACATTTAGTACTATGATTTCCAAAATGGTCCAAATTCTGAGTTGCTAGTTTTTGGTGCCGAAGGTGAGGCATTCTTGGCCTTATTTTCAGAGGTTTTGAGAACTTTACATTTTGCTGATGACAATGGGAGCTTCAGATAGTGAAAAATAGCCCAGGGTGTTTCCAGCTAGACATAAAAATCATTTGACAGTTTGAAAAGTTGCTGCTAAAAAGACCTGATCTTGCCCCAGTTGAAATCTTTGGCAAAGCTTTTATTGAATTCAGTGGTGCAGGGCCAGACCTGAACTGCTCAAGGTCTTGTAAACAGTCTGTGGTAATGTCAGGATTAGAATTCAGTAGCTCCTGGCTTTCAGTTATGAGCTCTGATCATTCTGTCTCTTGGCACCTTATTTATATACTAGCCAATTAGCCCATCATAAGACGGGATTTTCAGGTCTCTCTTCCACATCAGATTTCTCTCCTGAGCCTCCGGTCTCTCACTCCGTCTCTCTCTCTCCTCTTCCTACTGCCTCCCCCTCTCTCTCTCTCAGCTCTCTTCTGCCTTCTGCCTCTCTCTCGGTCTCCCTTTCTCTTCTCCCCCTCCTGCCTCTCACTCTGTGTTTCTCTTCTCCTCCTCCTGCTGTGTCTCTCTCATTCTTTGTCTTGCTGTCTTCCGCCTCCTTCATTCTCCTCTCAGTCTCCTCCGCGTCCACTTTGCTTTCCTCCTTTTGAATCCGGCACCCTTTCCTGATGTCAGAGACACACTCTCGTCCAGGCTCCGCCCCCTGTCTGTTCCCTCTGGGCGGCACTGTTGCCTCCCGCCATGGCACTCGACTGACTTCTGCGCCGCTCAGCCGGGCCGCCGTGCGGGAGCAAGTAGCGCAAGCGGCCGTTTGCGTTCCGCACTCCCCATGCAGCACAAGGGTGCTGCATGGGGAGTGTGGGGCCCAAACAGCCGCTTGCGCTGCTTGCTCCCGTATGGTGGCCCGGCTGAGTGGCGTAGAAGTCAGCCGAGCACCATGGCGGGAGGCAACAGAATTGCCCAGAGGGAACAGCCAGCGTTTCAGCATTATAGAGTCACAGACATTGGGCTACTATATATATGATTAGAATAAAAGTCCTCTCCTCTTTTTTTTTTTTTTTTTTAAAGTATATACATTTAAATGAAGAATTCTGTAACAGCTTATCTTAGGGCTTTTTTTAGTTTGAGAGAGAACTTTCTGTATATGACTCATGTCCAAAATACTCCATTTTGGCTGTTCAGCTGAGTATCTGCCCTGCAAAACAGACAAACTTTGGTGAGGAGTTGCTCTGGTGGACTCACTGCAATTATAGCAAACAGGGAATGGTGCTTAACCAACAATCAAACCTGGATGCAGGATAGTATTTAAAATCTATAAAGAGAACTTAAAAAGCAAATATTGCACCAAATCCCACATCACTGAAGATGGCTCCTACAATTATGCAGTATCTGTTTTCCTAAATCATAACAGTTCCACTTCTTTCCCCAGTCTGCTATATCCCCTTTATTGAAAATTCAGATTATACCAGAGAGAGTGATAAACATAATGAAAGATGGGCCTGGAGCATCATTTGTGCCACATGTGCTGGTAGCCTGATCAACGCAAAATGCAGCGCATGCTTTATTGGTTATTTAGGTGTAGTTGTTTTCCCACTACCCATCTAACCTAAAAATTATAGTTTGTGAGAAGATTTACTGACATTGCTCAGATCCTTAAGTCAAATACATTTTATTTTTCTTCATTTATATCATTGTTCTGAGGTGGGGCTATTGTTACACTTCAAAGGCAAAAGTGCTGTGGGGAGCCTGGGGCCTGAGTGGGACTCAAGCAGTCCCCCACTGGTCCTATGCTCCCATGGCATTTCAAAGTGGAGGCACCGCATGGAGCCTGGGGATGCACGCGGCATTTCGAAGCTGCAGACTCTGGGCTCCACGTGGCGCTGCCAGTTTGAAACGCCGTGTGCAGCCTCCAGCTGGCCCCAGGCTGCACGTGGTGCTGCCGCTTTGAAGCACCCACTCCTATTTCCCTCCTCCTTGCTGCCTCTTCAGAAAGAGGCAGCAAGAAGGAGGAAGCAACTAGTCGACTAGTGTGTTGACTCCCTGATAAGTATTTGCTTATTGGATAGTTGATGAGTCATTCACATCCCTAATCCCCATCTCTTGCCCCTTAATGGCCCCCTGTAGTCATTCTACAGTATAACTGTTCCTGCTACCCAACTCCTCCCTTTCATTTTATGAGAAATAATTGAATTTCAGACACTTCCCATTGTCCTGGCACAACCAAACCCTGACCTTGCTTTAAGTTATGGTAAGAGAAAGCTGCATACCAAATTTGGTGGTCCTAGCTCAGTGGTCCCCAACCTTTTGGGGCTGCCGGGTGCCCGGGGGTAGGGCCGCACATGTGCCACGTGCCCAGGGTGCAAGAATGGGCTGGCCCTGGTCACTAGGCGGGCGCACATAAATGCTCCGGCGGGTGCCATGGCACCCACGGGCACCGAGTTGGGGACCAGTGTCCTAGCTCTTACCATTTAGGAGGAGTTCCTGAACAGACTCAGACAGACAGACATGCTTTTTTCTAAAATATATAGAATGAAGACTAATAGGACTTTAACATGAAGGGGGATTAGCTTCACTGGAATTGGAAGACAAATTTAACTGACACTCAACTAGCCATTCACCACTTTAAAAGCCAGTGTAGATATTAATCTCCCAACTCTGTAAGTAAGTAATAGCATTCATGTTTTTCAGATGGAGAAACTGAGGCACAGTTTGAGAGGCTGATGTTCGTGAGACAAGTAGCTGCATAGCTAGCATTAGAAATCAGGAGTTTCTCGCTCCTTAATCTGCCAATGTGTTGGGCTGAATATCTGTAATTTACTGTACTTTATCCCCACTGCTGTTTGAAAGCAATATAGTTTGTGTGGTAATGGATGCCACTTAGGAAGTAAGAATATGTTGTGGGTTTTTTCCCTAGTTGTCCCGGTGCCACGATGATCCTTTTTTGCCTTCCCAACGGAACTGTGATTTTACATACAGGGGACTTCAGGGCAGATCCCTTTATGGAGCGATATCCTCTTCTGATGAACCGAAGGATTCACACTCTGTATTTGGATACTACGTAAGCTAGCATATCCTTCTTTCACTGTCCCAGTAAAAAGTGCGTATCCAATAATAGTACTTTAAAAAAATTAATAATATGAGTGGCATTATTTTTTTACATACCATTAATCAGAGATAAGTGAGTATTGAAAAACAAAGTATTTGTTAAAAGGTCACTTACATATTTTCTGTTGACTTTATAAGGGTGTAATATTTGTGTGTGGCATAAAGGCTTTTGCAGTATTCTTTTGAAATGGTCAAATTAATCATAAGCGATATTCACATTTTTGCTGTAAAAGCAAAGGTTCATGAAATAGAAACTGGCTTTGTGTGTGTCAGCCCTTTAATGAAAGAAACAAAAATTCAAACAGTGAAAGGTTGCTAGATGTTGTGGTCAATTGTCCAATTTTTCATTAGACCTTTCTTTGATTCAAAGAAATCCTATGAAATAAGTATACTGGTGAGATTATTAATATGAAATAAGGATGTAAAATCCCATGTAATTGGTTAATCAGTTAAACATATTGTTTAACTGGTTAACTGATTAAAGGGGAGGGCAGGCAGGGGGGGTCGCCCCAGCCCTGATGGAGGGGTCCCCCACTCTTGTCAGGAGGCTGGAGCAGCCACTGCCTGCGGTGGGCCAGGCATCCTGCACACACAAGCTGCTCTTGCATCCCATCCAAAGCAGCCTTTGTCTGTAGTGGGCCCTCTGTTGGGTTGGAGCAGCTCCCTGCCCACAGCAAGCCGGGAGATCCTCCAGCCCCCAACGGTTAACCTTAACCGGTAAGCCTCACCTACTAGGGGTGAGACTCACCAGAAAGCTGGTTAAACATTCACATCCCTAATATAAAACTTTCTCAATATGTGATGACTAATGCCCAGTTACAATTCTTTTATTTTCTGTCCCATACTCTGTTACTGTGAATGAGTTAGTTATGTGCATGCCAAAAAATAGAAGACCTATGGATGTAATTAGTAAGTGACACAAACATCCAGCTTTATAAAAAAAAATAGTACTCAAAAGAGGAAAATACTTCAGTAGTCATCATAGTGACAGATTAGTGATGAGAACGGGTAACATTTCCTCAACCCTAATCTGAGAACAGGTGATGCTTACCAGGTAATGGTTAACTGGTACCCAGGAGCGGCCAGCCACAGGCGGATGGCTGCTCTAGCCCCATCAGGGTCCTGCACAGGCTGAGAACTGGCAGCCCTGTGTGGGACCAGCATAGCCCTCCCCATTCACTCTCCCTGGGCTGAAGCGGTTCCTCTCTGCTGCAGGCAGGGGCTATTCTGGCCAGGCTGGAGCAGCCCCTGCCTGGGGCGAGCGGGGGTTCTGTTTTACACAATATCTGGCAGCCCTTGCCATTCTGCGGCGGGTGGGGGGGGGTGCCTTTTTAATTGGTTAACTCAGTGGTCCCCAACCTTTCGAGGTTGTCGGGCGCCAGGGGGCGTGGCCATTCGCCCGCTGGGCGCCAGGGGGCAGGGACACTTGCACCCCCCCCCCCATAGCCGCATGCCCGGGGGCGGCCTCCCTCCCCATAGCTGCATGCCCGGGGCCGGCGCTCCCCCCGCCATGCGCCCGGTGCCAGGCCAGCCCCGAGCACCTGGCGGGCGCATGGAAATGCCCCCGCGGGCACCATGGCGCCCGCGGGCACCGTGTTGGGGACCACGGGGTTAACTGGTTAAATACTACATATAACTCCTTAATCAGCTAAATGAGTGAAGTATTTACATGAGTGAATATTGTCAGATGAGTGAATATTGGCAGTTATTAAATGTGTATATCAAAAAGGATGTGCCCAGTATAACTTCAGTCTTTTTTCAATAAATACATTTCAAATTTAATCTTAAAAAATTACTATATGCTACCATGATTTTTAATAAATAAATAATAGGTTGAATTGATATTGATTAATTACTTGTCTTTCTCTTCATTATGTCATTGTTGTATGCAGTTTCTAGCAAAGCTTGCTTATAAAATAGGGTGCCTCCTGGCTTACGTTCATACTGCTCTTTTACATATGCAAATCCAATTTTCTTTTATTAGATACTGCAGTCCTGAATACACTTTTCCATCTCAACAAGAGGTTATCCAGTTTGCTATCAACACTGCCTTTGAGACAGTAACTTTAAACCCACGTACCTTGGTCGTCTGTGGCACCTATACCATTGGAAAAGAAAAGGTCTTTCTAGGTGTGTAATGTGTGCATTAAGTTAGCTTAGGCTCAACATTTAGATTTTGTGTATAGCAAAATAATGTAAGTTTTAAAAATTTCAACTAAGAATAAATTTATGATTGTAACAATCACCTGCAGTGTTTACAAAATTAACAAAACCATGTTGTGCCACCGTATAGGAGGCATAAAGTGGCTACACACAGAAATCATTTATTGAACCATATCAAGTGAAGTTCTAATTGTTTAATTAATAAAACACACTTAACTGGTGAAATTATTAACATTGAAAATAATTTTATAATCTCGAGTGCTCTCAGTAAATCAGTGAAGGAAATGTAATTTTTTTTAAAACTTCCATCTAACACTTACTTCCAAGGGTGATATTGTGTAAAATAGAAGCAAATCATGCAAATTAACTATTTGTTAAACATTCCCAGCAATTTAAATGCATCTTTCTGCTATTTTCTGTCTTAAAGGAAACCTCGTGTGTCCTATGTTTAAATTTATATAATGTTTAGAAGCACAGTGATTATCTAGAGCAGCCAGCCATGCAACATTTGTACTTATAAAAAAGATTTTCAAAGTCACTGTACTAGAATTTCATGAAATCCGGGGCATCATTAACATGGGTTGTTTGTCCCTTCTTCAGAACTGTACTGGGTTGTAGCATCTTAGAAAGATATATCGTTTTGCTTCTTTGAACATCAATATATTATTGAGGAGATATGATTCGTAACCTGTTCATGTACTTTTACTGCCCCTCTTTCTATAAATAATTCTGAAGCTACAGTATAGCAATCAGTGTTTGCCAACAATTATAACAGTTTTCCTCTATATATTTTAGAATATGAAATAGCCTTATAGGAAAGCATAGATGTTTTTAATGGTTGCTGAAGTGATCAGGAACATCTCAGAAACAAAGATAAAAATCTTCAGTATTTGCAAATTGTATCTTCATTATGTCTAATGTTTTCCATTCTACCCTACAGCAATTGCTCAAGTTCTGGGCTCTAAAGTGAGCATGTCTCCAGATAAATACAAAACGCTGCAGTGTTTGGAGTCAGCAGCTGTTAATTCCCTCATCACTGTGGACTGGAACAATACTTTGCTTCACCTTCTTCCCATGATGCAAATTAATTTTAAGGTAAGTGTAGAAAGTATCATCTGCACCTGTTGGCTAATCTTAGCTTGGATGATATAACAGCAACAGGGTGTCTTTGGTGCTTTTTGCCACCTGTCAGATCATATTTATTTAGTGATGTTTTGACATATAGCAACACATTGAAAATGAGATGCAATTAAACATTAATAACAGGCTCCAAACATAATGCACAGAAAGTGTAATTTCTCTCTAATGCAGTGTTCATGGAACAAGATTAGATGAGACTTGTTCAAAGGCTTGCTGTTTGTGGCCTTGTTTGAAGTAGGTTTTATTTAATGATTGCAGGACCTCTCCTATTAACAATTAATATACTGTGACACTTAGAGCCTGTCTTCTCTCTATCCATTAATTTGTATATTTTAAAAAAGGACTGAAGGGGTTTTCTTTCTCAAACACCCTCTCATTTGAACCAGTTAATGGAAAGGACATTGTCAACTTGAAATCTAGTCAAAATGTTAATCTTGTCTTTAAAAAAAGCCATTTCAGCTTTGACACATGTCCCTGAGGCCCTGCCAGTTTTTATGGCTTTACATTCACATTTTCCTCATTTTTCTTTAAATCTGTTTTTCTTTCCACTGTTGCTGTGTGGAAGACCTACACAAATCACAGAGGGAAATAGATGACCGTAAGACCTATGCTATCTGGAACTTAAGCACCCGCAAAACCGTAGAAAGCAGCAAATTTCTGACGCTAGGAAAAGCAAAACAAAAGAAACTGGTCCTTTAAGTGCCAGGCCGCTCCTCAGACAAATGTGCAGCACATACCTGGGGGAGGGGCGAACGGCAGCTGGAAGCAAGCAGCAAACATCCTATTTCCCCCTGCAGCTCCTGG